ACGATTGTATATACATGTGGTACGGCTCGAGGCGTGGATGCCTTTATTTCTTGGCTGGATTTTTGGCAGACACCGCACCAGGCTCTTTCTTTTCAACGGCTTTGATAATACCGACGGCGATGGTTTGTCTCATATCTCGAATAGCAAATCTTCCTAAAGGTGGATACTCTGTGAAAGTCTCAACAACCATAGGCTTCTTTGGCTCGAGACTTACCAAAGCGGAATCACCAGATTTAATCGATTTGGGATTTTCTTCAACAACTTTTCCAGAACGCTTGTCAATCTTAGAGTCGATGTTTAAAAATTTGCAGGAAATGTGAGCAGTGTGACAATCGAGGACAGGGCTGTATCCGTTCTTGATTTCTCCAGGATGATTCAGAATGATGACTTGCGCGGTAAACTTGGAGCATCCCTTGGCTGGCTCATTCTTCGTATCGGACGCGACATATCCTCTCTTGATTTCCTTAACAGAAACGTTCTTCACGTTAAATCCGATATTGTCACCAGGTCTGGCCTCTTCCAACACTTCTTTGTGCATTTCGACAGACTTGCACTCAGAAACGACAGCGGATGGTGCGAAATTGAGAACCATACCGGCCTTCAATATACCAGTTTCGACTCTTCCCACGGGGACAGTACCGATACCACCGATTTTGTACACACCCTGGAGTGGAATTCTTAAAGGCTTGTCGAATGGTCTCTTAGGTGGCTCCATTGTATCGAGGGCTTCAATTAACGTCCTTCCCTTATACCATGGGGTCTTTTCGGACTTCTCAATCAGGTTATCTCCTTCAAAACCAGAAATGGGAATGAAGTCAACCTTGTCCGCTTGGTATCCAACTTTCTTCAAATAATCTCTGACTTCCTTCTTAATTTCTTCATATCTATCTTCGGAATACTTAACCGTGTCCATCTTGTTAACACCAACAACGATCTGTTTCACACCAAGGGTGAAGGCTAACAAGGCATGCTCCTTCGTTTGACCTTCCTTGGAGAACGCACCCTCAAAACCACCTACTTCGGCTGGAACAACCAACAGAGCCACGTCAGCCTGCGACGTACCCGTAATCATATTTTTGATAAAATCTTTATGGCCGGGGGCGTCAATGACGGTGAAGAAGTACCTGGGGGTTTCGAACTTCCATAAGGCGATATCGATGGTGATACCTCTTTCTCTTTCGGCCTTAAGCTTATCCAACACCCATGCGTACTTAAAACTTCCCTTACCCATTTCAGCCGATTCCTTCTCAAACTTCTCTATAGTTCTCCTGTCAATACCTCCCAGTTTGTAAATAATGTGACCCGTGGTCGTGGATTTTCCACTATCGACATGGCCGATAACGACTAAGTTGATATGTGTTTTTTCCTTTCCCATTTTGAATAAACTTTAATTTTTTTTAAAGGGCAATCTATAAACAATTCGTATGTACGAGCGCAGATTGGGGCAATTTGCGCGATGTGATAATACGTAAAATATATATTTTATTATATATCACGTATGTGGGGAATTTAAAAAACCTTAAAGTGTTGTTAAAGTGAAGAGAAAAAAAACCACGTTACTTTTTTTCGTTTGAATGTAGTTACAATTTCACGAGAAACTTATTCGACCAGATTGTAGGGAGAAAAATTAAAAAAAAAAAAATATACTTATATGATACTTTTTTAATGCTGTAAAAAATTAAAATAAATTATGAACAAGTCAGGTTAAATGTGACTATAAAAAAAAAAAAATTGGAGTACATATGCTAATAAGGCCACATATCCATTAAGTATTTTTTTTTTCTTTTTTCTTAACGGTTTTTCTTCAAAGGAGCTATAAGTATATATATTGCATTATGTACATATGCCAGTATTGCATACGCCATCGCCCCTGTGAGTTGCAGCTCTTTGCGTGGCGATTTTCACTATAGGATACTCCGTACGGTTCTATTTTTTCCTACCGAATCGCATTTGTAGGGATAAAAAATACACTGGTGTCAAGAGGGGTGGAGGAGGCGAAAAAAAATTGTTCCCCCATACATTTTGCTGAAATGGCATTTATAAATGTTCACTTCACGAAATGATTAAAATGTTTGAGGTGGAGTCAGAGTGTGAAGGTTAGAATGTTCCATCTATATGGTCATTTTTCAAATTAAGTGTTTTTCACCGCTTTTTGTAACGTAGCAATTGTTTTGCGTCATTCTTGACGTCCTGTACTATGTGCCAGGTGGTATTATAATATAAGCCCTTACCCATGCCTCAAATAAGGTACGCATATATAAAGGACCATTTTTTACACCCTACATTCCCAATTTCGCATATAGCAGTTTCGATACGCACATGTGGATGTAGGGATATAGTACACTATTTCGTTTTACTCCATATTTATCTGATTCTTTTTTTTTTTATTTTACTGCATCGATATATGAGAAGTACGTTTTATCTGGTATAACGAATTTTCGCAATCGTAATTTATTTCTCGCGCACAAAATTGTATACATTTTTTATTCACCTGTACATATTAAAAGCGTAACACAATAAGAAAAAAAAAAACATGAATAGAAGCAGGCACAAAAATTAATCGAAGTTTACAAACCCTATAGAAAAACACATAGCATTTCACGCTTCCGCTTTTCCCTCTTTTGAAAGAGAAACAACCGTTTAACAAGCTTTACAAACTTTTGCAAAGCGTTAACCAGAAAACAAGTACCTACCTGTAATATATCTATATACATACGTATATATAAAATTTCTCCGTACCTACCTCTTTTTCAACTAAAAATTATCGAAAATGGGAAAGGAAAAAACACATATCAACTTAGTCGTTATCGGCCATGTCGATAGTGGAAAATCCACGACCACGGGTCACATTATTTACAAACTGGGAGGTATTGACAGGAGAACTATAGAGAAGTTTGAGAAGGAATCGGCTGAAATGGGTAAGGGAAGTTTTAAGTACGCATGGGTGTTGGATAAGCTTAAGGCCGAAAGAGAAAGAGGTATCACCATCGATATCGCCTTATGGAAGTTCGAAACCCCCAGGTACTTCTTCACCGTCATTGACGCCCCCGGCCATAAAGATTTTATCAAAAATATGATTACGGGTACGTCGCAGGCTGACGTGGCTCTGTTGGTTGTTCCAGCCGAAGTAGGTGGTTTTGAGGGTGCGTTCTCCAAGGAAGGTCAAACGAAGGAGCATGCCTTGTTAGCCTTCACCCTTGGTGTGAAACAGATCGTTGTTGGTGTTAACAAGATGGACACGGTTAAGTATTCCGAAGATAGATATGAAGAAATTAAGAAGGAAGTCAGAGATTATTTGAAGAAAGTTGGATACCAAGCGGACAAGGTTGACTTCATTCCCATTTCTGGTTTTGAAGGAGATAACCTGATTGAGAAGTCCGAAAAGACCCCATGGTATAAGGGAAGGACGTTAATTGAAGCCCTCGATACAATGGAGCCACCTAAGAGACCATTCGACAAGCCTTTAAGAATTCCACTCCAGGGTGTGTACAAAATCGGTGGTATCGGTACTGTCCCCGTGGGAAGAGTCGAAACTGGTATATTGAAGGCCGGTATGGTTCTCAATTTCGCACCATCCGCTGTCGTTTCTGAGTGCAAGTCTGTCGAAATGCACAAAGAAGTGTTGGAAGAGGCCAGACCTGGTGACAATATCGGATTTAACGTGAAGAACGTTTCTGTTAAGGAAATCAAGAGAGGATATGTCGCGTCCGATACGAAGAATGAGCCAGCCAAGGGATGCTCCAAGTTTACCGCGCAAGTCATCATTCTGAATCATCCTGGAGAAATCAAGAACGGATACAGCCCTGTCCTCGATTGTCACACTGCTCACATTTCCTGCAAATTTTTAAACATCGACTCTAAGATTGACAAGCGTTCTGGAAAAGTTGTTGAAGAAAATCCCAAATCGATTAAATCTGGTGATTCCGCTTTGGTAAGTCTCGAGCCAAAGAAGCCTATGGTTGTTGAGACTTTCACAGAGTATCCACCTTTAGGAAGATTTGCTATTCGAGATATGAGACAAACCATCGCCGTCGGTATTATCAAAGCCGTTGAAAAGAAAGAGCCTGGTGCGGTGTCTGCCAAAAATCCAGCCAAGAAATAAAGGCATCCACACGCATTGAGCTTTTTTATCTCTCGGATTATACACTGTACAATAGGAGGCTTTCATATAATTACATGTTACATATTGTGTATCATTTATATTACCTGTTATATAGCATTTATATATGTATATATTACGCTTTACATGAATTTTTTTTTCCTTTTTTCGGTTTTCTCCCTCGACAAATTGTACATACTGTGTAAAATTGTATAGCCCCTCGTTGTTGTTAGAAGCATTTTTAGAAAAGTACACGCGTATAACTTACCCATACATCCTGTACACATAGTCAATGAATAACAATAACAATAACTATCTTAAAACAGCGCGAGTAAAAACTTGTAAAAGGAAAGCTATTTTTATGAACAGTTCGGAAATTTTTTTGAAAATTGACGCACACTACTTTTTCGCTAGCCACAAGTGTTTTAAAAAATAAGGGAAACTTTTTGCGGTACTTGCTTCAGTGTCGCAAAAGGGCAGTTCACAGGGGACGAAACATAATTTCGTATTTGCCTACTTCACAATGTTCATCTGAACAAATGTATTATATGTTTGTACCTGTCTGCACATCTTTACTCGATTCTGTACCGTGGGGTTTCTGGTCGGCCCACGTTCACCCTGTGTGTAAATAACTTTGGCTTTTTTTTTTTTTACTTACTGAAAAAAAAATATTGGCTGTCAGAAAAAAAAAAAAAAAAAAAAATCTGGGAACACATTTGGCTGGCTTCTATTTCTGCATTTTGGCCTTCCGCACATGGCAATATATCAGCTGCTTACCAGAAGCGCGTAGTTTTTTGGTCAAACGTATTTCTTTTCCCGTTTTTATTGTAATGACAAGGTGAGTAGGATGTTTTAAGAAGTAAAAGCACAGCATTTGTGATTTTTACTTAAGAGAAAAAAGATGGAAAAATACCATGGATTAGAAAAAATTGGAGAAGGTACATATGGTGTAGTTTACAAAGCACAAAACAATTATGGCGAAACATTCGCGTTGAAGAAAATAAGACTGGAAAAAGAGGATGAAGGTATTCCGTCAACTGGTTAGCACAGTTATGAGCGAGGACCGTACCTCCCCCCACTGGAGTTGTTTAAAATAGAGCGCGTGCGTGAGTGGGCCGGTGAGCGAGCGAGCATATGTCTCTACATGCAAATGTGTGAGTACGTATACAATTTCCAAAAAAGAGTGTGGAAGTTACACACAGTGATCCATCTGAGGCAGCCTTCCCTCATGCAACACGCATCTATACACATGCGTGGAGACGCATAGCAACGCTTTCCCGCTTCTTCACACAACTGCACAAATACGTAAGCGCTCCGACTCATTCCCTCCATGCAGCGATTAGAGAAATTAGCATTCTAAAAGAGTTAAAGCATTCAAATATAGTCAAGTTGTATGATGTCATACACACAAAGAAAAGACTAATACTGGTTTTTGAGCATCTCGACCAAGACCTCAAAAAACTTCTAGACGTATGCGATGGTGAAAAATGATAAAAAAAAATTTGTAGACACGTTCCGTTTTCTTCTTCAAATTTTTCATGTTTGGTTACGCACATGTTGACATGCTCCTCTGAGTGTTACCCGTGCGCACGTGAAGCTACCCTTGGGGACCTCCTTAACGATGATCCAATTTCACTCGCAGGAGGACTCGAGTCCGTAACGGCCAAGTCATTTTTACTTCAGTTGCTCAGTGGAATAGCCTATTGTCATGAACACAGAGTGTTGCACCGCGACTTGAAGCCGCAGAATTTGCTCATAAATCGGGAAGGAGAATTAAAAATCGCAGATTTTGGACTGGCCAGGTACGTCCTACGCGGATTGGGCCATCCTCCTCGCCTGCATGCACGCACGGGTGCTGCTGCGTAGAAGTGTTGCACACTCGTGTGCCTATTTATGTGCCCTATCACACAAACGCTTCGTTTCTCACCGGGTTTACTGCTCCCTCCCCCCTAGGGCCTTTGGAATCCCCGTGCGGAAATACACCCACGAAGTCGTCACATTGTGGTATAGAGCACCGGACATTTTAATGGGATCGAAGAAATACTCCACCCCAATTGACATGTGGAGCGTGGGGTGCATATTTGCAGAAATGGTAAATGGGAGGCCCCTCTTCCCAGGGGTGTCCGAAACAGATCAGCTCATGAGGATATTCAGAATCCTTGGAACCCCCAATTCGGAGAACTGGCCGAATGTTACTGAGCTTCCCAAGTACGACCCGGATTTTATGGTCTACGAGCCCTTGCCCTGGGAGACATTTGTAACGAAAAAATATTTGGGGCCACGAGCACGGATGGGCCTCTTAGGATGTAACATTATGGCCGCTCATTCAGCCAATCAAATTCACCGTCTCATTTGTGTGCAGCTCGTTTAAACGTGCTACGTTTCAGGTGCATTCCTTTCCCCACGCATATCATAGCAGGTATGTTACGTTTCACATATCACATGGCGAACCCTTTTTGCGTTCCCCCTTTTTAGCTAAAAGGATTAGACGACACGGGAATAGATTTGCTTTCGAAGATGCTGAGACTGGACCCGAATCAGAGGATCACCGCAAAACAGGCTCTCGAGCATGCGTACTTCAAGGAGAGCAATTAAAACGGATCCTTCGCCAGGCTTGCGTTTCCGCGTGTTCGCAGCGAAGTGGGTCATTCTTCGAATATATTTGTTAGCCACTGCAGTGTGTGTTTCACCTGTGTACGCGCGCAGTATACACTTGCGAAAACAGGTCCACACAAATAGGTCCTCACCAATACTTCTGTAAACCCTCTCGTGCTTCTGAGAGTGACCCCTTTTTTTCTGTGTAGCCCGAACTTACTGCATATGTGTATATGTACCCCGCATGTGTGCCGATAATCCTACGCATGTGCTGTCTTCCCAATTCGATCTTGTAAAGTCCTATTATAATGTGCATGAATTTTCAACTGTGGGGATCAAACACCCGATCGTATATTTGCATGAACCTTATTCGTAATAGTTGTTACCAGTGGATCCACCACCCGCGTATGTAATTCGTCTCCCATGAATTAAGCAGCAGCGCGTAGGATATTTGCTTTGTTATGTGTGTACCCGGGTAAATTCTATCGGCCATGTTAAAACGTAGAAAGCGATGTGCCGAATGGCCACCTGCACTTAACAGCGCATTGTGAACTTGTGGTTCGCCAGCTACAGAATGATGCCTCCAATGGGGCGCAACCGTCCCCTATGGTAGAAATACGCAAGAAGAATCGAACGATAAGGGAACTGCTGAAAAGAAGAGCGTAGCGGCCTTTCCATGACTTGCATACCTTTACTAAAAATGGAGTATCCCCAAGTATGCCAATAATCTGCGTAGAGACACATGTGAAGTAATAACAAAAGCTAGAGCAACCCCCGTTGCTGGCTTTGTTTCGTTTGTGTTTACCTGCACGTGTTTTCCAGTTGTGATTCCTCCGTTGGAGAAGCTCCAATCGTTTAATTGGAAATCGCTTAGCTTACAGTCGCCCAATTGGCAGTCACTCAATTAGCGGCTGCTCAATTTGCAGTTTCCCAATTGGCAGCTTCCCAATTTGTACTTGCCCAATTGACACTCTTTTTTTGCACGTTTCGCGTTTTCCAAGTTAGAACAGTTCGAAGTCACCCAGCCGGCTGACGCGACTTGGGAGGGGCTGCATTTCCAAAGCAGCGCCTCTCACAGGAAACGGCACCGACCATTTCGCAAAAACGGAAACAAATGACATAAATAGGGACATGCAAAATGAAGTAAAAAAAAAAAACAAACAAACAAAAAATGATATAAACGAGACAGACGAACCAGACGAACCAGACGAAACAAACGAAACAAACGAAACAAACGAATGGTGCCTTCTTTACACATGATGAAGCGGAAAAAAAAAGCGGCGGGGGAGGGGTGCCATCATTATTATTAATTAACCACCAGCGTTGGCAAATTGGTGACGTGGTTCAGTACCATATCAGCATTATCCTTTCTGTGGCATGTGCTATGTGAAGGGGGCAAAAAAATTAGAGGTCTCGCCGGGGGCTAAAACATCTGTTGGTACGCTCACCCTCAAAGAAGAACATAACGATGGCCTAATTGATCCCGTACCTGACAATACTTTCACGTGGGAGCACAGTTTAATCGGAGTATGGGACGCAAACAAGTTATTGCTATGCTCGTCAGCAACCATCTGTATTTCGCTCATATCAACCCTCTCATAATCCATAATGCGTACCTTCTTGCCCATCTTAATGACTACATTACCCCCTTTGCCATTACTCTCGTATGTGGTTTTATATCCAAACTAGTTTTACTTCCCATGCGTTTCGTCGACATGGCGCTTCCGTTTCTTTGCTGACGTGTATCCACAGAGCTATGGTTCACTTCAACACGTTCGTATGTACCTTTAACCCCACCATGCCGACTACCTCCATGGGCACTTTTTAACTCCTGTTTGGGAAAATAGCCCTTGTAGAGGAAACACCCTGTGGGATTCTTATCGGCCACATTTACTACACGGGATGGCAGTACCTGTGCAGTATTATTTCTTCTCATGCCATCCATGTAGACACAATTGGAAGCCGATTTGGCTTGTAAACCTTCTCTGCTTCTGCTCGTGGCGTCCGTATTAGCCTTACTAAAAAATGCGGTTTTGCCACAGTTTGCAGTGTACCACCCGCTTTGGTCCTCATCTAGCACAACTTTCTTCGCAAAGCAGTTAGCACTACTTTCGATCCCAGTAGAACCCATCTCGGGAGTTAAGATCCACTTATCGCTTGAGCTGAACAATTTTGTCGAACCCGAATTGGATGGATTCTTTTTAATGCTATCCTTCTGTGCTAATGTGTGTTTTCTCCCATATACGATATTTCTATTTTTGTTCATTATTCCTCCATTGACTTGCTGTGGGGCACTCGTGCCAATTTGTTCCCCCCCCTTATGTAAAGAAGTTGAGGTGGACGGACGAGACAGAAAAGGAGTACCTGAATTGAACCTCTTAGCAATGTACACCTGTGCACTCTTCTGCATCTTCGATGTGGACACGGGTTGAGTCCCTTTTGTAGCATCCCTACTGCTGCTTTTATTTTGGCCCTTCATATAAAGGTCTGTGTTTATATTGCTTCTCTTCAAGTTGGCCACTTCGTTTCTTTTCCTCCCACAAAGGAGTGCTTTATCCACATCTGCTACGTCGGAAGATTCTGTATCTGTCCCTCGAGCATTCACAAACTGCATGATGGGCCAATCTCCGCAGCTGATATTTCGCTTAAGAGCCTCCTTCGTTTGGTAATTATTTCCCACTCTGGATCCACTTCTACCATGGGGAGGACGCAACATCTGAAGTGATTCCGTCTTAGTAACCACCCCTTTTGGGGGTGTTCCCCATTTTCTCTTTCCACTGGAGCTACCTTCCACACATTCTTTCACAGATGAGCTAAAAATGATGGAAGATAACTTATTAACAGGGTTTTTTTTTATGCTGTGCCCTGATATAACATCCCTCTCATGATCATCGAACGAATCGGAATAGTTGCCCTGTACCTCCCTCTTCCCAGCTCTCTCCACGTCCATGGAGTAGTGCCTCTTCTCCGGTTCTGCTAAAAAGTTTGATCCGTTCTCCTCCACAGGGCAGCTTCCGAGCACATTGCACTTTTTCCAGCCAGATGTTGACATTCCCATGTCATTAAGACAATTTGCTTCACTGCGAGGGGTGTCACTCCTGCAGTTGGATTTCATTCGTATTAACTGCCCCTTCATCGCACTCTTCCCATTACTGCTGGATGCACATATGGGGATGGAAAAACCCCAATTGCAGCTTCGGTCCTTCTCACTGCTTCCACCATTGATGAGATGAATTCCGTTTTGGCAGTCCCTGTGCAACGTGTGTCCACTCTGACCATGCATACCACTATTTGTAGCACCCTCATAGATGATGTGATTTCCCTCTTTCTTGGAATAACTCTTCACTTGATCCTTTCCATAATTCTCTCTTTGATGATCGATTGCCCCACAAAGGCTCCTCTTATTCAGCAGTAGCAACTTGTTTTGCAACTCTTGTTCATAGTCTGCGTCAAATAATGGACTGTCGAATCTTTTCATTGGTTTACCTCCTTCCTCTTGGTAAGGATACTCCCTTTCCTTCGCGCTACTCTTGTTTCTAGAATTAGAACAATGTGCATCTGACTTCCCGGAATTGAGCCTCTCTAATGTGGCCACATTCCTTACGCCTAATGCGGGATTACGAATCAGACTGTTCCTTTTCCTTTCGTTGGGACTTATTGATAAAGCGGAGGAGGCTTGGTATGTATTCATGTGCTGCTTTCCTTTTAACATACGATTGGGATTGCCCTTTTCTCCCCATTCATTAGATTCCGTTTGTGCAGCGCTTCTATACTTCAAGTCAACATTTTCTGTTCCATTTTTCTCCTTCCTATATATGTTGGTGTCTATCTTACTCTTCACATTCTTGAGATTGACATCCCTGTGTGAGTAAATCTGTGCGGTCGTTTTTTGCCTCTTCGCTGCATCGTTAATGGGTTGAAGTTGGACGTTCGTACTGTTCCCCACATTACTTGACCCTTTCATTATTCCACTTTTGAGATGTTTTTCCTTCCTATTATCCGTAAGAAGTGCTCTCTCTTTTTCGGCTTCTCCATTACTTCTTTCTCTTCTCACCCTATCGATGTGCAAAAGGTCACCATCTAGGCCGGTCGTCAAGTTGCATTCCCCTACTGCTTCGCTTCTACACCGGGAGTAGACACGAGAGTAGACACGAGGGTAGACACTTTCTTTCTTGCTTTGAGATAGGTTACTCCTGTCCCACGTTGGATCCTCTTCGAAGTGGCTGCTTGGACTACTCTCCTTAGGTGAAATCCTCCCCGTTTTTATCTCCCCATTTGATCCGCTCTGAAAATAACGCTTGACGCAGCAGTTGAAGGGAATTTCACTTATTGACCTCCTGACCTCATTAGTCGTGCAGAAGGAGATTTTCTTCCCCTCACTGGTACTCAAATTTGTGTACCCCTCAAAGGAATCATACTGATTAGTGGGGGAATGGGAGATGGTTTGCTGTCTGAGGTTTTGCTGTGCGGGGCTCTTTTGTGTGAGGCTTTCCCGTGTGTGGCTTCCCTGTGTGTGACTATTCTGTCCAAGGCTTTCCTCTTTGTGACCACCCTCCGTTTTCCCCCCCAACGGTGAGGCGTACTCATTCTCCTTCTTAATCTTTTGTAGTTTGATCTTCAGATACTGCTTTATCCTTGCGTCCTTTAAATTATTTCCTAATATCATTTTTTTACCATTGTGCATGGAGTAAGCACCGTTTTTTGTCCTGTGTTGGGTGAGACTAACTTGTTCTTCTGTCGTTTGCACCGAATTGGTTGGCGGCACATCAGACGATTCTTCATTCGTTACGGTGATGGTCTCCTCTTGGCTTCTACTCTTGCTATCATTTTGAACACACCCGTTTGGTATTACCTCCTTCGATTTATCCTTCTTCTCAGAGAAAAAATTTTCTGATCCATTCCTCCTACTACTGCTCCCTCCTTTTTTCAAATAACAGCTACCCATTCCTTCGGTCTTTTCTTCCGTCATCACCTCCTTCAGGCAAGGAGTTTTTCCACTTCTCAGTGGAGATACTCCTTTGTTGATCCTCCTTTCCGTTTTGTCATCGTATGGTTTTCTCCTCTTTTCTACACTGGAGCTTTTATTTTCCCTCGATTTGCTTAACACAGTGCTACTGCTATTCAGCCTCCTGGGAGCTATTTGGATCATGTTCTTTTTATTCTCTTCACTTTTGGAAGGGATACTATTTATACTGTCTAACTTATGTACCCCGCTTCTCATGCTACTACCACTTCTGCTTTCTACACGCTTCGCGGGTGTTCCCGTAGGCCTGACCCCCTTGCTTCCTTTCGGCATGACTTCCTTTTCCAACGAGTGCTTCTTCTCAATTGAATCATTTCTTATCGAATTATTTCTCCTACTTGGGTGTGGAACTCCACTCTTACTATGCACCCGGTTGCCGCTGCCTTTGCAGTTCTGGGATAAATCCCTCAGTTTTCCGATGTTGGAAGAACCTTTCTTAAGCAGATCACTTCGTCCCGTGTAGGAAGTCTTGCCAACCGATTCGGAGCTAACGGCTACCTCTGATAAACTCCTGTTCATGCTTCCGGAACTAACCATTCTCTCTACTCTCCTTTTGCCTACATTAGAGACACACTTGTCCTTTTTCACCTTATCCAACAGGTTGATCTTATTTTTCTGTCGAATCTTTGATATTAACTCCAGGTTGGATATTTCCTTTGGCCCTTTTTTTTGCCAACCCAGGATTGTGGCTCCACCCTGAGTGGATTTCTTCTCCTGCTCCTTCCTCTCCTGATCTTTCTTCTGCTCCTTCTGCTGCTCTTTCCTCTTCTCTTTCTCCTGCTTCTCCTCCTCCTCACTGCACTCCTGCACGCTGAACGTTCTCCCAACGGCGCCATCATTCTGAAGAGCCATGAAGGTCACTTTGTTGTTAAAGGAAATCTGTCTAGCGGATTCTCCACTCTGGGTGTTCCTTTTCTTCACTGCCATGTTGGTGCTCTTTGCTCGCTGGTATTTCCCATTGTGGTTAAGCACATACTGTGTTTTCCCGTCTGGATGGGTAATGACTGTGGGGGTTTCACCCTGCTCTGCATGAAGTGCCTTCTCTGAAAACTCGTCGTCCTGTGTAAACTCTGCATCCGTTGCGCTCTGGACCCCTTGCTCATCTGCGCATGCACCCATGGCGCGACCCTTTACCACCTTAAAACTCCCCTCTTCTCGCTTCCCCAATTCGGAGGTATCTAAATGGATTGTTCTGTTCTGCTTGTACCTCCTATAAAAGAACTTATCACTTGCGTAATCCGAATTAGAGAAGCTGAATGCATTTTGCCTTTCGTAATACCAAGTGGGATTATTCTCCTCCGCCTGGTGCCCGCCACGCTCATTCTGGCTGCCGCCAGCACGGACACTGCTCGCACCGCTTGCACCGCTAACACCACCAACGCTGCTGCTTTTTTCTTCCCCATCGGTGCCGCTCGAATTAAAGGCGTTCCCCTCGGGGGAGAAAAAATCGGGGGTCACCCTCCCCCTGATGTTAGGAACGTTGTCATTCATAATTTCTTTCTTCAGTTCGAGAAAGGATTTCAACTTCCTGGACGTATACGAAGAGCGATACTTTTCCTTGCCACACATGGTCACCGACACATCCTTCTCTATATTGGCCAACTTATCATCCAAGGATTTTTCATCTAGCACCCTTTCTCCATGCCTCCTCGGATAAGCATTTTTTTCTTCCTTCAGTACATTCCTTCTGCTCCCCATCTGGGCGCTCCCTATTTGTCTGCTCGCCGTCAGTTTGCTACTTCCCGTCTCGACAGGATAACTTCTCAAATGGAAAGGATTCATCTTATTAAGTGCATTGTCTTCCAATCTTTCCTCCCTTTGCTTATCCAGCTGAGTGTCCACACTTCCGTTCTTTCCCTTCACCAGTGTGGAGGACCGTTCCTTCATTTCGACAGAACTGTTGTTATCATGCAGATAGTTACTCTCCACCAATTTGTCATTTTGGATGTCCTCTTGTTCATGTTCCTCCTCCAGAGAATCCATGGCAGCTGATGTTTGGTCGTCTTGGCCGAATAGACTCTTCCTATTTTCACCATTATTAAGGTACTTCTTATTTTTTATACTGAGATATAATTGGTTTATTTTTTCTATATACTTATCGTAGAGGCTAGTTCCATCTAAATCACAGAGGTAACTAGGCGATCGTCTGTTTTCCTTCGCGGGTGGTTCCTTGTCATCCGTTTTGTCTTTTCCCATGGCAAGAGGATTCTTCTTTCTGTCGGTAACTCCACTTCGTCTAGGGAAAGGATCTTTTTTGTATAATTTATCAGTAGATCTTTTTTCTAACATTTCTTCCCTCTTGTTGTTAATTAGTGTATCTTCCCTTTTTTCTGCTTCAGAAGTTTTCTTCTTTTTTGAAGTAGTCTTAAATTTGGTTATCCCTTTTTCTTCTACTTCACCCTTTCGTGTGTCTTCACACAGATTATTCGTTTTGGAGTTCTTCTCTTCCCCTTTTTCAATTCTCGACCGCTTCGCACATTCTACTTTGTCATCGGACAACTCTATACTAGGAGCCTCTACAACGTGTGGTTCTCGTCCCCCATCAGCGCTTAATTGTTTAGTTCTTAGGCTGGACTTGTTGCTACCCCCCACGAGGGTATCCTTCACCTGAAGATTTATTTTGGCGCCGTTACTTTCTCCTGATGATTCCGTCGCCTTTTTTTTGATTACACAAATTGGGATGTACATTTCGTCCACTTGGAGAAGTTTGCGCACTTTAGGTAGATTTCCCGAATCACGCTGCTTCCCCTCATCGCGCTGGTTTCCCACTTGGGTAACTTTCTCCGAATTTTGGCTCGGCTGAATGTTTCTACGCGTGGTTGGGTTATGTCCCTCCTCTCTGTTTTCACCCCCTCTGTTCTTTTTTCCATCGTCAAGGAGAGCCTTTCTCGCTTCCCCTCGTCCAATACTGATGGAATTTTTCTCCACAGGACTACGCTCCCCATTCGTATACTTACTCTCATAAATTGGAAGCACTCTCCTTGGACACTTTCTTCCATTGTCTACCCTCCTTCGTAGTAACTTTTCAAGGGACTCAATATCAACCATATTTGGAACTATTTCTTCCACCTCTGAGGAGAATCTATCCCTACTTTGTGGACTGTTCGAAAATGGGGACGTATTTGACATGCAACTGTTATCACACAAATGGCCATCCTCGTGAGGATCACCCCGAATTGTATTCTCAGACAGAGTGTCATCCGCCTTCTTCGGTGTTACTCCCCCGTTGATGTCCTCCTTTGATGACTCCCCCGATGGTGTAACGTCCCTTTCGATGTTATCCCTTTCCGGTTCACCTGACGGTGTAACGTCCCCTTCGATGTCCTCCCTTGTTGACTCCCCCTTGCTGCGCCTCCTCTCAACACAAGGCGCACTAGGCACATGGTCATACTGATTTGTAGTGGGGCCTGAACTCTCTGACGAATAAACCAGTTCGGCCTCTTCTGTTGCGTTGGACTGCTCCGATTGGGTCTTCCAGTTGTGCCTCTTCAAACAGGGATCATCGTTACTACTGCCGCCGTTCTGCATAATGGATTCATACGAACAACTACTCTTCTGCTTGGAGTGGATTCTCCCGGGAGTGATTCCCTCCAGGGGGATCGACTCAGTGCTGCAATCACGTTCACTGTCCAGGGATAGATCCTCATGAGGGGCGCCTGATAGGAAGGTGGTCCTACTTCCCTCTTGGAGGGTCCCAGAAAGATCCGTTTGTGCTTCGACTTGAAGCGCAGCAGATCGATTGCCCTGGGAATCTTCCCCTACATCGCTAGTACTCCATTGTTGTCTCCCCACCACCACTTCCTGCTTCGTACCCCTGGAAGAGTCGCTGAATGAGGAAAAGGACGCCTCCGATTGGTGAGAGTTCATATCATCCGAACTGGAAACATTTTCCTCGTTCATGTAAAAATTTTCTATTTTTAAATATTCTGCTAATTTTTGTTGAGTCTCTAATATGAATGCATCCACGTTATGGTTCTCCCGCTCGGTGGGGACATCCTCGTTGTGCTCCTCCCCCTCCTGGTTCTTCTTCCCTACCGTGCCCCGTCCAATGGGGTAACTCATCGATGCGTTGAGACTACTTTTTAAGAAGCACTGAGCCTTTATCAAGGAGCCTATGAAATTAAAATCACCACTGTCATCCTTCCTGCTGTAACGGGAGTCGGTATTCCCTGCCAGACCCTTCTGAAAGGACAGTTTCCACATCTCCTGCATCCACGGGTCAGACGATATGTCACACAGCTTGAGGCGCTTATTCACATCTACCACCAAGGCTTTTTTTATCAAATTAATCGCTAATGGGTTCACAAAATCTGGGAACTTTAAATTACATGAAAATATCGAATTTATTATCTGCGTTTTGGTACCATCAAATGGGACATCCCCAACTAACATTTCGTAAAGCAAGACGCCCAAGGACCAGATATCAGACCTCCAGTCATATCCAGACCCACTTGTAATTTCTGGAGAGAAGTAAACCAACGTTCCACACAAAGCAGAATGACTTCTTGTTCCTAAAATCATGGCAGACAAACCAAAGTCGGACAGTTTTGCATTGTCCATGTGATCCACCAAGACATTCTCCATCTTTATGTCCCGATGAAAAATACCCATCTGATTTAAGTAATACAATCCATTCACTACATGACAGAAATATTTATACGCTAACTCATCAGGGATGATTCTTCTCTTAAAATTCTTCGATATGGAATAGATACTTCCCTTCGCACAGAATTCCAATACATGGTAAATGAAATCATTATCCTGCATGCATCCATACATTTTAATTATATTTACGTGACTCAAAACAGAATGGTACTTGGCCTCTAAGTAGGCTTGTCCAGCTGCTTGAGATTTTATAATGTGTTCCTTTGATATCTTCTTTATTGCATAATATTGCGGATTCGATAAGAACCTCATTTTTGTTACCACCCCGAATCCCCCCTCTCCAATATTTCCCACGTCCGAAAAGAGTTCCTCATCACGATGAAATAAATTAATATTCAGGTCACCTTCGTACTTTATGAACGTGTCGTCAAACAGTGCATTCAAATTTAGAGACTTCAAATAAGTTTCAAACGTTTCTTCATTCCAAAGGTGGGTCGGATAAGACACACATAATATGCATTCAAGGAACTTATCACGCATGTAGCTCAGCTTCTGTCTCCATTTATCTGCTTCATCCACCGTGTTGTTCACATAGGATGGGTCTAGACAGTAAATTATTTTATCTATTAAATTTCTCTCCTTTTCAGAGGTGGGTAGCATTACCCGATTTAGTTTACTTTCTAACGCATCCTCTTTGTTGTTCCATTCTTCTTTTCTTTGTTCCATTTTCTCCTTCATGCTTTGTAACAACTCCATGAATAACACATTTTTCTTCTTACAAAATAGATGTTCTAAACTGGGGAGGCTTCTTTTTCTTCTTTTTTTCCTTCTCCCCTTGGCGCTGGCAGAATCCTGTATCTCCCCCTCTGCGTACTCCCGTCCTAGATCCATGCTCTCCTTCCTCGCCCCCTCATATTCATCCCTACTGACGCAGAAGCTACTTTTTATACTCCTATTTATGGTCACTTCCTCAAAAACTTCTTTTATCTCCTTGTCGTCAAATATGTCCACGCTACTCGACGATATATCGTAATTATCCATTTGGGAGTACTCCGTGATGGACGACTTCCTGTTGCTAGAGTGGACGCCTGAGTTCTTTCTCACCCCTTTGAGGAAGGGGGTCGAGTCGTTTTCTTCCGGTTCGTTTTTTTCGCTCGTTTTTTCGGCTTTGTCCATTTTGCCCTTCTTGCTCGTTTCTTCGGCTTTGTTCCTTTCGCCCTTTTCGCTGGGTTCTCCCGATTGGTCCCTTTCGTGCTTTTCCCCCTTTTCCGAATCCTGCAGGACCGAATTAGAGGATGGCCTTAAGAACCCTTCCTTTCTAAAGTACAGATACAGTTCCTTTTCCAGTTTTTTCTTCTCCTCCCTGCTTATACTATCATCCTCGATGTAGTTGAAGTTACTTCTTTCATTCGTCCCCTCGTGGTTCTCTTCAACATGAGCTTCTTCGTCATATTTAGAATTCTCCAACAGGGTGTCCTTCTGGTTTGTCACTTTTTCATCATACGTGTCTTTTCTATTTATTCTACTGTAGTACCCTTCTTCATAGTCCGTACATGTTCTTTCTAATTTTTGCACCCCTTCGGCGTGTACCCCTCTAGCTGGGGGGTTCAGGGGCACCTCGCCTTTAGTGCCCTCTTCCACCAAGGGGGACCTCTCTATCACCCGGTCTAAGTTGCCCATGCCATTTATATTGCATATCTTTTCTACCGTCTTCGCATTCGCCTCTTTGTAGAGGACCGTGGTGTGATTCGCTGCCTGACCGTATTTTGTTTCCCCCAACACCAGATCGGTTTTATTAATACAGTTAAGATGAGTCAGGGTGGAGTTATCCATCACTTTCATATTTAACCTTTTCTCACTTCCGTAATTTGTTCCCAAAGTAGAGAAAGAAGTGTCATCCACAGAATTCTCCCCTTTGGGAATATTCCTACTCATAGGGGCTGAATTCGACTCGGCCGCTTCGAAATGATCCTTTCCCTTTTCGACATGTGAAATGGCGTTCTGCTTAGGCGCACTTTGGATAATGTCTAATTTATGCTTTCCTACTTTTCCACCTTCGTAGGTCTCATTTTGGCTATACCCCCTTTTTGACTTGCAGATGCTTATCCCTTGCAGTGGGAAATGAAGGCAGTTCCTCTTCCCTTCTTGGCTGTACATTTTGTGGTTGTCCTTTTCTTTCATGCATTGTTGATTCCCCCCGTCGATTTCGCCTTGGTCGACTGCGCGAAAGGAGCTGATAAAATATCGGTTATTCTCTAGCACACTGTTTCGGGAGGCTCCATTTTGTGACGCTTCTTTTTTTGACGCTCCATTTCGGGAAGCTCCTTTTTGTGGTTCCCCATTTTGGGAGGCCCCTTTTTGTGGAGTCCCTCCTAGCGTGCCCGACCGCAACCCATTCGGCGCTATGGCACCCTCCTCTTTCCTGCACTCCCCGCATTGTTTATTTCTAATACCCGCGTTCCCATTCAGAGAACTAACCTTCTTAGGGTAAAAAACATGTGGTTCCTGAAGCCGCGTCGACGAGATGCTTTTCTTGTTTGGTACAAATTGTCGTTCCTTGTTTGCAAAGAAGCCACCTAAACATCGGTATGAGTTCACCCCTTGAAAATTGCCACCATTATCACCGCTACTATGGTTGGAAACTTCTTTATGCCTCAAGACGTCGCTTCTGTCCTGTGGAGTCACAATGGAATGTACCCGATCCATTTCGCTGCAGTGTTCTTGGTTTGAACTTACCTTGCGTTCTTTATACATAACTTCAATGGGGTTTTTTAACCTTTCCTTTACTACACCTTCATGTCGTGGGAAGCAGAAATGGATTTTACCGCCCCCAGAGTGCACAACACTTTTTAGCGATTCCCCATTGTTTTCTTTGGGATGCTTCCTCTTATCAGAATTGCTAATTCCCCCTAGGAAGCACACAGTTGTTTTTAATTCACCACCTTTTGAGACTCCTCTGTCAATTTCGTCTCTTCGTATACAACTTCCTAGGGAAGCTTCTCGGAAAATGCCTCTACGAGCTGTACTGTGCCCGGAATGGTCCCTATTCATGATAACATTGTTGAGCAGACTCCCTGTGTAGTTTCTCTTGCTTCCCCCTAATATATGATTAGAACAGTTCGTGCGGAGAATGTGCCCACTGGGATGGGGATGCCCATACGAGTCGTAACCCCTTTGTTCGATCCCACTTTTTGAGCTGCCTCTTCTCTCATAAGAGGACGTCGTGCTAACATTTCTCACACAGTTCGGAAAAGAAAAGCTGCTAGTTGCGCATATGTTTTCATCTAATAATCCATGAACATTATTTTTGTTCCTACACAGGGTGTTACTAACTATGTGCAGTTTTTCTCTGTTATTAGGTTCCGATTTCCCATAAGGTGCACTGACATTACTCCCCACTTTTTTACCTTCTCGTTGACTTATAAGCTTCGCGTTGTTTACACAGGAGTTATAGAAACAGTGTGTGTCGATTATCCCGCCATGGATGTCATTTCCTTTTTCCACCGCAATGTTATTTGAGGTGTACAGAAAACTAGGCGAAGTAACCTTAGTCTTGTATTGTTTTAATTTTCCATCCCATATAACATTTTCATGGACATAGCCGCTTTGTCCATTGCTATATCCATGTGACTGATATAGGCGGTCATTTGTGTGCAGTTCATTATTGTAATCAGTGACATAATTTTCGTAAAAATTTGTATCTCCCGTGACGTTGTACTTAGTGTGAATTGGCGGTTTTTCCCAGGGTACCTGCTTCTTCCTTCTCAAATCGTTATCATAACCAATTCTGACATGATCCCCATTCCCGCTAAAAAGGATGTCCTTCGTATGGTTTGATTTGTGCTGCTGACCATCGATAAGATTTGTAGGATAGTTCTCACTTATGCTGAAGTTTCCCTCGTGTACATTTTGTGTCAAACTTATGTTCTTCGACTTTTTTATTTGACTTATGTTCTTCTTAATCTTGTCCATGTAGTACTGTTGCATGCGCAGGTCATTCATGTTTCTGTTTTCCGAGGTTGTGTAGACAGGCAAAAATTCGCTTATATGTGCACGTGCGTGCCTTCTTTCCTCTTGTGGTTAAGAAGCAACCACTTAATAAGAAGAGGGAGGAGAATTTCTGAAGTGGCCAAATGGCGCGGTTGTTATTTTGCATAAGTGCAGTTAAGTACACAAAAGGGTGAATAAGTAGGGAGATACACAGATTGATAAATAGACAAACAAGCAGACAGACAAGCAGACAGACAAGCAGACAGACAAGCAGAAAGAGAAGCAAGCAGACAAACAGACAAACCAGAAGAGGGATAAACAATCGAACAGCGTAACGCACTCATCCGTCACGTCGGTTGTGCGCTAATCGTAACGTGCATCACTAAAAAAAACGAAATGCGTTTCATAAGTAAAATTCAAAATATATATATTTAGAAAAAAAAATTATGACAGGCGAAAATTACTAATTATTTTTAAGTTAAACATTAAACAAATCAGACCATTCAACAATTAATAATGAAGACAGACAAAGTGACAAACGTGGCTAGACACGAATAAACGTAAATAGACATGAATAGAAGCGAGCAAACGCGAATCTGAGCTAATTTAGGAGATGATTAATAAGGGGCAACCACATGGTTATGAAAAAAAAAAAAATACCACGACGCCTCTGCAAAAGTTGTTTGCAAACATTCACCATGAAAGGTTGATGTACCCTCTGTGAGATACTACATGTGATGACGCTTGCACATGCATGGGTGTGCATACACCTGCGCTCTGGTATCTTGCGCTTCGTGGTTCATACATATAATTTTTGAAACCATTGACAAATGCATAGCTAGCCTGCTATTTTAATAAACAAATAAATAGTTAAACGTTTTTCAGATGGCTAGATTTTTTTTTTTCTTTCTTTTGTACGGTTCCTTCTGTTGGGGGCTGAAACAACAGCTTACTCCCGACAAAAAAGACACACCCGTGAAGGGGCGCACGTGTACGTATGCACAAATATATATATATGTACATATAACTACTGAAACGAATTCCCTTTATTTTTGTATCTATAAAAAAATTTATGAAAAATTACTGCGTCTCATTTTTTGCGTTAAATCAGCAATTTTATCTCTATGACAAAAATATATTATGGGCATTCTACAAAAGGTAAATTTTTCAGAAAAAAAGAAAACAATGGAAAGGGTAAACTCTTCACACCGACAGCGGTGAAAAAATGTTTTCCCATTTGGTTATCTTTTGTTTGGTTTCATTTTGTTCAGTTTTTATTTTTACTTTGTTCGGTTTTGTTTTACCTTGTTTGGTTTTGTTTTACCTTGTTTGGTTTTGTTTTACTTTGTTCATTTTGTCTTTTTTTTTTTTTTACTTTTTCTACATTATAAACATTAAACAATG